CCTCACTTGCATCTGAAGAAGTGAGGTTTTTACCCACGAAAGCTTATGCCCAAATAAATCTGTTAGTCTTTAAGGTGCCCCCAGACTCTTTGTTGTTTTTGTAGAAATCTGGATGCAGCCTTAACTGTGCCATCTCCAGGATAACCTAACATCAGAAATGCATTCTTTCCATTTCCAAATTATGTGTCACTGAGTTTCAGGGTTTGGTGTAGTTTGTCTCAGTGTACTTCCTTCATAGGAATACAGTAGCTGTTCAGTGGTCACAACTAGGCATTTACGGTCCTGATCCTGCAACGAGGTGCATGTCCCATTGACTTCCGCTCACATACACCTCACTGCAGGACTGGAACATAAACTAGGGAAATACAACCTAGATGGATTTACTGTACGGTGGGTGCAAAACTGGTTGGAAAACCGTTCCCAGAGAGTAGTTACCAGTGGTTCACAGTCATGCTGGAAGGGCATAACGAGTGGGGTCCCGCAGGGATCAGTTCTGGGTCCGGTTCTGTTCAATATCTTCATCGGTGATTTAGCTAATGGTATAGAGAGGACACTTATAAAGTTTGTGGACGATACCAAACTGGGAGGGGTTGCAAGTGCTTTGGAGGATAGGATTAAAATTCAAAATCATCTGGACAAACTGGAGAAATGGTCTGAAGTAAATAGGATGAAATTCAATAAGGACAAATGCAAAGTGCTCCACTTAGGAATTCCTGTGAGTCTCCCATTAAGGTTCCATGTTTGTCACACAGGTCAAGGATTCAGTGACTTTCTGTGACCTCTGTGACTTCTGCGGCGGCTGGTGTGTCTGCCCCTGGGGCTGCCTGAGCAGCTCGGGCAGCCCCCGGGCCAGGTGCACCAGCTGCTGCTGGGGCAGTCTCAGGCCTCCCCGGCCCCTAGTAGCAGGAGTTTGGGAGTGGGGGGTGGGAGCTCAGGGCTAGGGATTTGGGTGCCTGGTGGCGCTTACCTGGAGAGGGCCTCCCCTCCCTCAGCCCCTAGCTCCATGTGCTGCCACTGCCAGCAGGCACCTCCCCCGCAGCTCCCATTGGCCAAGGTTCCCAGCCAATGGGAGCTGCAGAACCAGGGGTGGGGATGGAGTGAAGACAGCACATGGAGCTCAGGAGCTGGGTAGGGAGCCTGCCCCAGCCCCACCAACCCTCCTCCCCAGCACCCGCGATGCCCCCCTGCCCCACCCGAGCGCACATGGTGGCCCCTCCCCTAGCACCCATGGTGCCGCCCCCAGGCTGCGCCCCCTGGGCCACAATCCCCCCCCAGCACCTGCGGCATCCCCCAGTCAGTCCCCCGAGTTCCCCCACCACAACACACAAGTTTTAGTCAGGGGTACAGAGCAAAAGTCATGAACACGTCACAGGCCGTGAATTTTTGTTGATTGCCCGTGACCTGTCCGTGACTTTTACTAAAAATACCCGTGACTAAAACGTAGCCTTATCTATGATTCTACGTAGCTAAAAGGAATGGGCTAAATTCCATCTCTGTTTCAGTTTATCTGGTGGCAAATGGAGTAAGACAACAGTGCACTGATTTCTATAATGAAGCCAAGCTTCCCAGGTAGAGGGGCTAAAAGCTTTTTAAAATAAAAGCTCAGAACCATTTCTGTTGCCTCTGGTTTAGAGACAGATCCAAACCTTTGCCACTGAATCATCTCTGGCTGGATGGGGGAATCTGTATGTTTGTTACATTTAAAATTGGCACATAACATTGAGAACTATTAGTCGTCCCATGTAAAAGCACTAAAACGGAAGTGTTCTTGTTATTTGCAGCTCCTGTGATTGTTGTGCCACCAAAAAAGATTCATAATCTAACTGGTGCCCAAGTGTACCTGTCCTGTGAAGTGAAGGCAGTTCCCACTCCCATCATCACATGGAGAAAGGTATGCCAACAGTGGATTACATTTTAGCCAAGAGGTTACACAGAATCTGATGTGTGTAAGACAGAGAAACTGACATGGGGCCAAATCCGCTGTTAATGTAAACTGCCATTGGAACCAGTGTTCACCTGGAGAGAATTTGGCCCATTTCTTTTGCTGTGTTGCCATACCTGATTTCAGATTATTATATTCATAAATAAAACGGCATTACTTAAAAATGAGACTAGCGAGCAGTAATTCCCTCAGCGCGTTAGCATGCCCCGTCCCCAAACAGGGGCTATGAACGCCTGCCTCCCCGAGGGGCTTTGAGAATTGAAGTGTTGGTCTCACCTGTTTTGACCAGCACTGAGGTCAGGAGAGCATCTCTGACTTACAGCCCGGGGCCTGGCCTCAGTACATCCCTGCAGGGGAGGAAGGGAATTAATAACCCAAACCCCACTCAGTGCTCAGGTTGAATATTGGACTGGCTTGGCTGGGGGTGATTCTGGGCTGACAGTGAGAATGATGACATCTGTAGAAGGAGTCCTTAGAGCAGCACCAGGGGCAGAAAGGAAGAACCTCTGCCTAGGGACTCTGGCTGTGGGAAGGAAATCTCTCTCCCCCACCTCCAAGGAGCCAGATCTGGGGCTACAAGGGGGGTGGTCAGAGAGCTAGGGCTTTGGGGATGGCCAGAGGAGTGGGGTGCTACGCTCCTGGGAGCTAGGGACAGACCTTGAACAAAGGCAGCTAGGCACTTGTGCCAAAACATTCGAACTAGGGTGCCTAAAGTTAGGCACTGAAACAGAAGGGGGGTAGCGCACCCAGCGATTCCCAAGGGCTACGCTGGGAGAATGGGGAAGCTAGCCCTCATCCTGCACACCCACCAGTTCCTTAAGGATCCAGATGGAAGGGGCAAGAGGAGCCCCACGCTGCGACACTGGCTGGATGTGTGCAAAGAGAAAAGTCAGAATCTGCCTGCAGCAAGCTGGGGCGAGCAGGGCTACAACCAGCTGCATACCGGGTAAGAGGGAGGCACTGCCTCGCGTTGGCTGCTGGTCCTTGACTAGGATCTGCCTCTCGCTCCTCGCAGTAGCTGCAAGAGGTTCCGCTGCATACTCCTTTCCCTCAGTGAGAGCATCACTCTGAGATGCTGAGGGGAAAGATAATGGCATGTGTTCTTCTGTGACAGGCATCTCTCTGTGGAGCACTGGTGCACATTGCAGAAGCTAGTTGTGATGGGTTGGATCACAGAAACCCCCTTGGGAACTGCCAACTCATGTGCCTAGACTACTTCTGCCCCTGCTTTCCCTGCCATCTTGAGACTCCAACACCCTGTCTTGTTGAGCCAGACACTCCCATGTGCTCCAACCCAGACCCAGGGTCTGAACCACGTGCCCCAAAGCTGCAGACTTAACTGAAAGCAGCTCACAGACGTGTTCCTGTCTTTAACTCAGATGCCCAACTCCCAATGGGGTCCAAACCCCAAATAAATCAGTTTTACTCTGTATAAAGCTTTTCCAGGGTAAACTCATAAATTGTTCGCCCTCTATAACACTGATAGAGAGAGATGCACAGCTGTTTGCCCTCCCAGGTATTAATACATACTCTGGGTTAATTAATAAATAAAAAGTGATTTTATTCAATATAAAAATTAGGATTTAAGTGGTTCCAAATAATAGCAGAGAGAACAAAGTGAATTACCAAGTAAAATAAAAACACAAATCTAAGGCTAATACAGTAATAAAACTGAATACAGATAAAATCTCACCCTCAGAGATGTTTCAATAAGTTTCTTTCACAGACTGGACGCCTTCCTAGTCTGGGCACAGTCCTTTCCCCTAGTACAGCCCTTGTTCCAGCTCAGGTGGCAGCTAGATTTCTCATGATGGTTGCCCCACTTTGTTCTGTTCCACCCACTTGTATATCTTTTGCATAAGGAGGGAATCCTTTGTCCGTCTGGGTTCCCACCCTGTCCTTCTCAATGGAAAAGCACCAGGTTAAAGATGGATTCCAGTTCAGGTGACATGTAAGACTTCATTACCCACTTGCCAGCACACATGTATACAGGAAGACTTACCAGTAAAACAGCCATCTACAGACAATTGTCCTGGTTAATGGGAGCCATCAAGATTCCAAACCACCATTAATGGCCCACACTTTGCATAACTACAATAGGACCTCAGAGTTATGTTTCATATTTCTAGTTTCAGATACAAGAGTGATACATTTATACAAATAGGATGACCACACTCAGTAGATTTATAAGCTTTGTAATGATACCTTACAAGAGACCTTTTGCATGAAGCATATTCCAGTTACATAAGATTCACACTCATTAGCCTATTTTTATAAAATCATATACAGTGTGTCACACTAGTAGAGGCAGCAACATGTTGAGCTCAGACCTGCCAAATGCAGAGGCAACACACCGATGAGCATGATGCTTTTAAAGTATTCCATATCTACGTTAACGGTATGCCAATGTCATAAAATCCCACAGGTCACAGAGTCACCCAAGGGAGTTAAACTCCTGGAAGAATTGCCTGGAGACAGAGTAAACATGGCAGTCCAAGTTCGTGGTGGTCCTTCTAAACATGAGAGCACAGGGTGGGTTTTGGTAAGTCCAACAAAGCAAACTGTACTGAGGGCAGAGGTGGGGAAAGGGAGGGGCAGGCTGATTTTGGAAGTTTTTCCATACAGAAAATACAGTACATTGCAAGTTCCTAGGGGAGACATTTTAAGAGAAGAAACTCAGAAGAGTGATGGAGCAGAGTTTAAAATAGAATGGAAGTTCCTACAATCTATCAGACCTAATTTAAACCTGACATTTTAGTCCTTGTTTTGAAAGAGGAAATCTAAAATCCTTCAGATTTTTCATTCTTATCAAGAATTGATTTATGGCTTCCCTTTTGTGCGTACTGTTCACTTGTTGATAGTGTGATGTTCTCCCCTTTCGTTTTGCCAGATTAACCCGCTGATGAAGGAAGATGAGGGCGTTTACCAATGTCATGCTACCAACATGGTTGGAGAAACCCAGGCAGAAGGGAATATTAAAGTCACTGAGCAAAGTAAAAGTAAGAGGACTAACTTCCTAGAATCAGATGACATGATATAGCAGGGTAAGTTCAACGTTACAAATCCACTTCAGTACCGCAGAAGCCTGTTGCCTTTTTTTGCATTCACCTACTCTTGTTGGTCGAAAGATACAGATGTAGAGGAAGCATGGCCTAGAAACAGGGAATCTGGAGGAGCCTGGAGGTGGTTAAAGGTTCAAGAATTGACTCAGGACTATCTTGAATAAGTCATTTTCTTCTGTCTACCTTACTAAACCCATGCTGAAGTGTAGGAAGATAAAAGAAGGGCATTGCAATGTGCTAAATACCTTAGCTTTTCAATAGCAGATACTGCTGCACTGAACATTTCTGGGTCGATAAGCTTATAAATATCATTGCTGTTTTTAATTCAGCATTTAATGACTGCGGTGTAAATACATACCGTACATGATCAGAATGCTTGACCTCTTCAGACCAAAAACCAGCATTTGGTACCATATTCTAAACATGATGCTAATGTCACATGCTAAGGAGACAGAGCAGACTTCCCTCATCTATGACCAGTCATCTCCTCTCCCCTGTAATATCTTCTCATGTAAATGGATGCAATTCACCCCAGGGCAGAGGGCCAGCACAATACCTGTGTTACAATTTCATCCTTGCGCTGACCCTTTGCACCCTCAGGTGAATCTCACCCAGAGAAAGGAGAGCAGACCCCAAGCAGATAAACAAGTGTGTGGCCGTGATTTAAATAAAACAACCAAAAACGTCCTTCTGCTGATAGCTTCATTGTTCCCAGAAGTTTTAGTATAATTCCCCACTGCATTACTCCAATTCTAAACTGGTGCGACTCCATTGATTTCAGTGAACCTTTTGAATAACTGGAGTAACATAGTGGTGGTGAATTATGCCCAATAAGTGACTAGCAAGGCGAGGCTGTGAAGCAAAGAGGTGAACAGTGATCAGTGTCTTGTTGTGCAGCATTTGGCCTGGAAATGCAGCTCTGTGCATGAAAATTAATGCTTATTTCTGGGAGAGACCCTATGTTTTAGCTGAAAGAGTGGCTTTTATGAAAAAAGATACATCCAGTTTAGCAAATATATTATTCAAAGGTATATATTTTGTGCTAGTTGCAGCCATGGCCACATCTCCATCACAGTTCAGTTTTCTATACAAGTTATTACAAATTCCTGGATAATAATCTCTCAAACTGTGCTTTTTTTTTCCCTTCTAGGGAGAAGTGATTCAATCTTCGCTCCAGGGAAACAAAGATTGTCGAGCACAGGCTAAAAACAAGTCAATTAGTGGCTTCCTTGGCTATCTTACATTATAGAATTAGGAAACTGCATTAATATTCTTGTTACGTGGTTAATGACATGTTTTTTGTACATTTTCCTATTTAGATCAATTAGATTAATATTAAAAATCTGTAGTTTATAACTGGAAAAAATGAGCAATAAAACACTTTTTTTTAAATCATTTTAAAGATACATACTGTCTTGGGGTTGCTTTTTATTGGCACTCTCAACTGTACCAGTAGGGGGCAGCAATTATGGAAGAGACCATTTAGTGTAATTTCTGCACGTCGGTCTTGGCCTGAAAGACAAATCACAGCAATATAACAATTGTCTTTAAAGCAAGCCACTTCTTAAGAAAAAAAAGCGGAGCATTTAATGGAGCTTTGGCAATTGTTGCTTTTGGGTGCATCCAGTCACTAGAACATGACTAACTAGAACACCGTGTTTTGAAGAGGTTTCTAGTCAGAAATGGATAGCTGCCAATGTCTAAAACATATGGGTAGCACTGATTATATGAGCCCAGTACTCAGTCTACTGAGAAGGGTGCCACAGTGATTCATTAGATTCCAAGGCCAGACGTGGCAGCCGTGTTAGTCTGTATCCACAAAAACAACAAGGATTCCGGTGGCACCTTAAAGACTAACAGATTTATTTGGGCATAAGATTTCGTGGGTAAAAAACCCACATCTTCAGATGCATGGAGACAGAAAAGACCACTGTGATTCTCTAGTCTGCCAAGGGTAGCAGCAATAATGTGACTTCACTGCACTTCTGAGCAAAGCAGAGATTCTGAGCAAATGGACTCCACCCCAACATACTGTGGTATAAGAGAGCAGAGATCGGTTCCCATGCAACAGCCACATCCCCTGACTCTTTTCAGATAACCCTTGTGTGTTCTCTGTCTCACACGAGTCATTCAATAATTAACACTAGATGGCCCAGTCACTAGTGAGTGACACTGGCCCTCTGCAGCGGTTCTGCACTTGAGTAATGCACCACGTGAGACTTATGTGATGCATGAAATCCATGCTGTACATCAGTACAGTCCAGTATAAGTGATGCACAGGCTACATGCCGAATCTCTGCACGAGGACAGAAGTCACTCTGGTCTGCGTTAGCCAGGGTTTTAAAAATCCTCTAATACAGCACATACAGCAGTATGTTTTTGTGGCTACAGACTAACATGGCTACCCCTGATACATTAGTAGCACACTGTCATTATCCTGTTCTGGACCAGAACCGCTTTTTAACACCAAAAAATCCCAAAACAGTCGGTTCCAAAGTGGCGCACACAATGAGATGTATACACCTGGCTTATTGCCTTAATATTTTAGCAATGAAAACCGATCCGCTAGCCTGTCCCAGCTCAGAACCACTTTGAGACCAATAAGGATTCAGAACACCAGGTTCTGAAGTGCCTCAGGATTAAATTTGTACCTATACTCCAATACCTTGTGGATAATACTTAAATAATGAGAACTGATTAGTAGCACACTATCATTAACCTGACCCAGATCCACTTCTTAACACAAGTAAGGACCTAGGACTGTCGGTTCTGAAGTGGCTACGGGTGACCAAAATGATTCACATCATACAAATGAGAATAACGGTATACTTTCAAGTGCCCCTTGTGACGGTGCTGCCCGTGGGAGCCAGCTGAGGTCACTCAATCAGGGTGAACTGCAAACAAAACGGGGCAGACAAACTCCAAACGCTGGTGGTTATTCCACTACTTAGATTTACCAACCAGCACAAAACAGCTTCTATAGTACCTCACCAGTTACTCAGAAGTCCAAACAACGCAGCCTCAGGTACCCAGCCTCAGACCTCCGTCCAGACACACCTGTCAGATATGATGATGATTACTGAAAATCTGACTTCATCATATAAAAGAAAAGGTTCTTCCAATCCCAAAGGATCAGCCACATACCCAAGATACACACTATAGTCAATTCTTATTAACTAAGCTAAAATTTATTAAAAAAGAAAAGAAAGAGAGTGTTGGTTAAAAGATCAATATACAGACAGACTTGAATTAAATTCTTGAGGTTCAGATACATAGCAGAGGTGAGCTTGTAGTTGCCAAAAGTCCTTTTAGAAATAGTCCATAGGTTATAGTTCAATGTCCATATTCAGGGTGGCTCCAGTCAATGACTGGGGATCTCAATCCTTGTGGCTTAAGGTTTCCCCCTCTTGAAACCCAAAGCAGATGTGAGATGCAGCAGGATTGTGTCCCAGGGTTCTTATACGTTTCCAGCAACCTTTCGGCCTGAGAAAACAATAGGCTTAATTCTCCTTCCAAATATCCTGGCAATTAGCACAGGGTAATTTATCCATTAAACAGTTCAGATACAGGTTACCACAACCTTCAAAGAGGCATATAGACAATAATACTATTTCACTCAAGTATCATCATAAATGTTAATATTCCTTTTTGATCTTCAAATTAAAGTTACAGCAATAGACAAGACTTGTTTGCTTACATCACAAGACCTGAGCAAACATCTACCCTTGAGATCTCTAACAATGCAGACTTGAATTTCAAAGCTCTATTCATTTACATATCTTCCTAACCAGTTCCTACAATTCACCCATGGGTCAGGTCAGTCTGAGTTAATTAACTCTTTCTGGCCCTGTCATCTTTCAATGAAATATTATTTTACACTCAAAACATCACACCCCTTATAGGGAATAATACCTTTATGAATAGAAGTGCGTGGAACACTCTGTTCCAAGATAGCACAGGGGACCAGAATGATACACATAATACAACCAACTGAGAATAATGCTATAGTATGGAAATCCTCTTCTGAATGCACCTTCAAATGGCTATTCTGTGTAATTAATTCCCTTTATGAACAGAACCACCCAGAACACTTAGTTCCAAAGCAGCACAAGGAACCAAAAGGATGGACGTAATACAACTAACTAAGAATGGCATAATATTGCTGAAAAAAATGCCCAAATCTACCTTTCTTTACACATTCCAGTCAATAAAGTAACGTATTATTGATTCAAAACATCTGGAACTGTATATAGCTGAAGTGAAGGGAGAATAAAAAGAATGCATAGGTCTATAGAATACAGAGCCAAGTTAGAAAAATTTAATCCTTGAAAAACGCAGCTAAAACCGACTTTTAATGCTGTACCACCTTCTGTGAAATGAAATGTTGCACATTATTTGCAATTTGTAGAAGAATTAGCCTATTGTTTTTGTCATGATTCCTACTGTTGGTAGTAGTAAGAGTAGTAGTTTATACAGTATTTCCATATAGTCTAAAAAAGTGGGGCTAAAAAGGCTTTACCTTAGGTCTTGGTCTAAATACGAAATATTTTCCTGATGGACGCATTTCAAACATATATTTTTGTTTTGTTGGTATAGGGAACCGTATTATATCGGTTCTATGCAACAATCTAATTGGTTTTTTTTAAATCAAAACAATTTTTTAATATTGTTTTCCCTTTTCTTAACAGTTGAATATAGTGACGCCTAAATTGTATTTTGAACACAAGAAAGTGATAAACTAGCTCTATTTTCACAAGTAGGCCTATATTGCAAACGTTTTGGAATTGCTATTTGCCTGTTCACTTCAACTGTTTGCTGTGATTTTAAACAATCTATCATTAACACACAAGTACAGAGCAAAAAAAGTTTCACAACTTTTCTGTCGGCCCACATCTACTGCCTTGTTAGTTTAATAAAATATTTTTACTTGCAATTCAAACAACTATTGTACAGAACTAGCAGCGAACTTGGTGAAAGAGTAAACAGCCGTAAAGAACTATTGAAATCTTGATGGCTTAAAGAACCGCAAAGAATATATCTCCTCAATATTTATTCCACTCTATATGCATCCGAAGAAGTGGGCTGTAGCCCACGAAAGCTTATGCTCTAATAAATTTGTTAGTCTCTAAGGTGCCACAAGTACTCCTGTTCTTTTTGCGGATACAGACTAACACGGCTGCTACTCTGAAAAAAGAACCCCTTGTATACCATCAAAAAACAATTTTTATTAGACATCTCAGGGTGACAGATGTCAACAGCTGCCAGTGGAGAGCTGGGAATTGAGTTGCATAAGAACTATATGTTTCCAAGTTGAAATGGGTCAAGTGAATAGGCCTGCCTGTAGAACAAATGCATAAGATCGTTCATGATTAATTTCTTACATCAACGGTTATTAAACCAAAAGGGGTCAAAAACCTGAACTAGTCACTTTGAAAATAAAAAACATTGAATTCAATGGCAAAAAAATTTTCCTTGACACAGAGTTAAGGTTGCCCAGAATGGAGTCCAGTCCTAGCAGCTGAGGCTACCAAAGTGCCATCGAGCAGCTGCTAGAGCCCAGCCCGAAACACTGAGCTGCCAGGGACAGCAGTGGTAAATGGTGCTTCCCCTTGGAGGAGCACCCACCAGTTGAGAACCTCTGCCTTATTCCCTTCCAGGGGATCGAGACACCCACTGTCCCTGAGCACTGTGATCTGTAACAAACGTGAACTAAGAGGCAGGTTGTCGTAGACTGGGCAGAGAGCGAATAAAGCTATTTACAAGCAGGTATTGCAGATTGGTCACTTAGAGCGGAGCACCGGGTAAAACACGGACTGGAAAGCCGGGCAAAGAGAGTGGTAATAAAGGCATTGATGTTCCTCCCAGGTACTGAGAAATGAACATGAGCGCTAAAGCCAGCACAAAGCAAACACCAGGAACCACAGGAGAAGTATGTCCTCACGTTCTTCAACAGGAATTCTAGAGAAGAGAACATGGCTTTTGGCAGAATAATGAATAACTTTAAACTGTCTCCATGACCCATTAACCCTCCTCCCAGTCCCCCCCCCCTTCCCTCCTGAACTGGAGGGGAGTTAACGGGCCACCTAATCTTGAATGGTCCCTTGAAATGTGTTATCTAAATCATAGAATAGTAGGACTGGAAGTGACCTCGAGAGGTCATCTAGTCCAGTCCCCTGCACTCAAGGCAGGACTAAGTATTATCGAGACCATCCCTGACAGGTGTTTGTCCAACCTGCTCTTAAAAATCCCTAATGATGGAGATTCCACAACCTCCCTAGGCAATTTATTCCAGTTCTTAACCACCATGACAGGAAGTTTAGCATAAGTCTATTTTTGAAACTCCCCAGGAAATGAGTATTGTAAAAGGGCCCAGGAGCATTTCTATGATTTAAGGGTCTGTCCAGGT